CATTGAAAGTCCTACAACCTATCAGTTTAGATAGCGTAGTTTTTATTTTTGATCTATTTTAGTCGTTAAAAGCTAGTTTAAAGGTATGATTTTGCCTGGTTAAAAAACTATACTGAAACAAAAAAGAAACTTTCTCCAAGTTTGAATGTAGATATGTTAGTACGGTTTTTCAATCCTTTTGAAACTCGATGTTTACGTTGAATAAAAATATCGGGCTTTTATACGGGGATTAGCTGACCTATTTTGCAAACAAAACGAGTTTTACAAGCTACTACATGTATATAAATGTGTACATCTAAGTGGTACCCTTGAACAACTGGCACATACTTTGCGAAAGTTTCTTTTCTGGTTCAGTATAGTAAGCATGGCAAAATATTATCAAAAGGCCCCTGAATGAAGTTATGTTGATGCATCAAATATAATGACAATGGCATCCTAGAATATTTCATCTTGATATGTCACAGCAATTAAGCATCCATCTAAAATAAAATCTAAAATAATTTCAACAGGACAGCAATTTCTTAACATCTTACAAAAATGTCGAACTGAAATTTTGTCATAAATTTTTGCTACTTGTCTTGCTGGATACCCCTAACAAAAACCACATTTATTAAAGCTGGACAAAATGAAAGACATTGTTTCATAACATAATTTTGTCACTATGAAGACCGCTTAAATTAATCATTAACCTAAAATGATATATTAGGCCAAAACTATTTTGTATATTACAGAATTTCAATATTCTCTTCCCTCTATTTGTCATCTTGTTTTAACATTGAGTGCTAAAAATCTCAAAATCAAAGGCAATAATACTTCTTAGAACTCAGAACTTAACAAAAAGAATATAAAAAATACTAACAATATGCTTTAACAGATTAAATTGTTTATATAGATTAACTGATTAATCCTTGCACTAACTCATTTATCAGATCTTAATTTCAACACATGTTATTATGCAAATTTTATAAACTCAGGTATTTTTAAATTGCCTTGTCTGTACCTACAATTTACTAACTAAATTGGAGAAAAATTTATTGGCGAAAAAAAACACAACAACCAAAAACCAACTCAATCAGTAACAGATGATCCTTGAAATGTCATTGAGAAAACACACATCCAACGCTTTGTTCAAATATAAAATATCATGTACATTTATCAAGTAAATGTTTAAAAATACACGAAACCAGATGCTGAATGTTAATTTCTCCCAGCTGGCCATGATTTCTCCTCCCAGATGATAATTATATTGGTAACCATGGAAACTAGAGGCATGTTCAGGTCGTATCTATTCTGATCATACGTAGTTTGTAGTTATCGGCAAGTACACATGCGGCTTCGTTGCTACCGCCACAGTAATGTGACGAGGAGAATACAGTCAATAACTTGCCCTGTTGTTGTACCTGGTCAAAAAATTAAATCAGAACATTAATATTCTAGTACAATAAACTTAAGATTACCTTACCTGGTCAGATTATTAAATCAAATATTCCAGTAAAATATACTTAAGATTACATTACTCTTCTAGTAAAAATTAACTTAAGATTACCTTACTATGCTAAATTTTCTCTATGGAAATAACCTGCATTGAATTTGGAACAGTCTAATTTTATTTGTGAGGGAATTCCATAACAAAAATAAACAGTCAACAGGATATAGCCAGGTGTGACAACGCAGCAGTCTGCATATTGGCTGGGTTCTATAATGTTTGTATAAGCAAATCTGGCAACAGTTCCAAATGTCATCCCTGATACCGATGGACAAGAGTTAACTGTTCCACAAACACCCATTAAATAACTGTTTTATTATAAAAAAAAACTCTGCAACTCTTCACAATATTTAATAAGCTCCTAAAGGCAAGACAGGTAAACAGAATAACTAACACCCGGCAACCAGTTTGTAAGTGAGGGACATTAGATTAAAGGTAGAAGGCCATCACAATCGTATGAGCTTAGTTAATCAGAATACGTCTGCTTTATAAACAAATACAAAGAAAATTAGTTTTGTTAAATGCTAGTGAATTTAAAGTATTCACAAATTTCTTAAACATAAACATCAACATATGAGATTTACCTGGAAGCCAGCTTCCTGCACCTCATGAGCCCTAATAACATGTGTCAGGCCATTTCTATCTAAATGCCAAACAAAGCATCACAGCTGAAGAAATGGGCAGTCCCTCGTCTAGTGTTTGCTATGAAGCCTTTGTTTTCTTTAAGTTCCTGAATTGTCTCTGGAGTTAATACATCCAGACTATAAAAATGAATAGAACAATATTTTTGAAATGCAGCATTTAAGAATTTTAAACATAAATTAGTCTATTCTTGTTGAATATGCATAATAATTAACTATTCTTTAATCTTATTTTGCCCAAATCATTTAATTTTATTTCATTGAGTTTAATGTGAGGTCACAGCAATATTTCAAGGTACAAGTGACAATTCTGAAACTAACTGGTAGAGAAACACCCAAAGTTCGCCTTCTTCTCATGCATCAAATCAGGCGTGAGCAGGCCACTGAGTAGAACAAGCTAGCTATGTGTCTAATGGAATTTAATGTCACTGTCACACTGACAAGATCTTATTTTATATGCAACATGCTCCTAAGTCAGCAACACTAATCATTTGATTGTAAGTGTCCCCATGAAAATTGCTTTGATTTATTGTGTATATATATACCTGGCTGGGTCACTCCACATTATATCCCATGCCAAAGTACTCTCATCGTCAGGGTTCGTCAATGGATTTGGCAATTTGTTGAAGGCATCAATAAATTCCCGTCTAATTCAGGCATTGGTATACCCCCATATACACACACAATATCTGAATAAAATTTACATATAAATTGTTCTGTATCAAAACTTAAAAGTTTCATTATACTCCTTTCAAGGTAAGTGTCATAAACTAATGACACCTTTCAGATTTACAGAAGGAGAATAACCACAGGCTCCCAGCTTTCATCATGAAACAAGAACATCTTGTGGAACCACGACCTCCTCTAAGCTGAAAGTACTCAATTTAATATTTGATACATTTCGAAGTTCCTAAATTTGTCAATGGGCAGCCCAAATTTCAAAGCAGAAGAAGAGGGCAAGCCCTGAATATAAATTCATCCAACAGTAGTAAATTATTATGTAGAGTCTGACTATAATTGTTCTTGTCCTTTGTCAATTACGTAATAAGGAAATCTGAAAAATTAACCGTTTTGTTGATTTTAAAAAAAACAAAATTTAAGTGGTTAAAATATTCAAGAAATTTTGGATTTCAAATATTGACACTAGTCTATTTCTTATTTCACCAATAATTTTTTATGCTGCTTGTAGGAGTTCCTTAAAATTGTTTAAAAGGTTATCTTTCCATTTTAATTGGAGAGTTACCTACCTTATCATCTACTGTTGCTGCTTTTGGCATAACATCAAATTGATTGCCTCCCATAGTTGGCTACCTATACTGTCACCAAACTTAGACAGGCACTCGCTGAATAACAACAGATTACATAATTTATATTACATTATTTCACTTGCAAAACAAGTGACACAACATTGTCTCTACACTGACCTACAAATGACCCTGCAGAAAAATTAATAGAATAATGCAATGCCTGTCCAAATTCTAGAGCACGAACGGAAGATGAATTTATTTTTACCATTGCATTTGAGAACATTAAATAGTTTCAGAAAAAGATTTTATTCTATACAATTGAACTTTGCCATTGTGCAGTAGTGTCTAGTGAGGTCCTATTTTAGCATGTCAAATGAAAGACAATGTGCAGCTATGTGTACTGTTCAGATACAAAGCATATGACCACAAATCATTTCTTCAAGATCTCTGAAAAACAAACAGGTCATGACATTAAGACTTTCTCCCAGCTATTGAATCTTTTTTGTTTAGAAAATAACATTTACACATGTAAGACATTCCGACATGAATTGTTTCCTTTTCATTATCAAACTGTAATTTGAAGAAATGTCATGGCCATGGGCATTTCAGCGTAAGCGGTCCCTAAAAGGTGCCAATCAAATTATTAAGAGCAAACTTTATAAAGACTACCTCAGAATGCTACAGACAATGTTTGGTCGCCATCCATCAATAAGTCCTGTAGAAGGAGACGTAAAAAGGTTTTTATAGTTTTAGCTTTAGCGGCCCCTAAAAGAGGCAAATCAAATTCATATGAGCAAATTTGATCAAAGACTACCTTAGAATGCTATAGACAATGTTTGGTGATCATCCATCAATTAGTTCTGTAGCAGAAGCTGTTAGAAGTTTTTTTTCTTTTTTTTTGCTCTAGAGGCCCTTAAAAGGACCAATCAAATTAGTTTGAACAAATTTGATAACAGACAATCTAAGAATGCTACAGGCAATGTTTGGTGATAATTCATCAATTAGTTCAGTACAAAACAATGTTTTTCAGGTCTTTCTTTTTTAAGCTATAGCGGCACCTTAAAGGAATCAATGAATCTAAAATGAGCAAATTAGGGACCGCAAAGGCTATCTAAGTGCTACATACAAAGTTTCATGAGCATCCACCCATTAGTTCAGTAGAAGAAGACGATTAAAGTTTATTTTTTTCTTTTTTTAGCTTCAGAGGATCCAATCAAATTGATATGAGATAATTTGATAAAAGATTACCTAAGAACTAGCAGAAGCTGTTAGAAGATTTTTTTTCAATTTTTTGCTCTAGAGGCCCTTAAAGGGACCAATCAAATTAATTTGAACAAATTTGATGACAGACTACCTTAGAATGCTACAGTCCAAGTTTGGTGATCATCCACCATTTAATTTAGTAGTAGAAGATGTTTTTAAGGTTTTTCTATTTCTATTATTAAGCAACAACACGGGACCATTGCTCCCAAAGCGTTCATCTTAAGACATAATGATTCAATGTCCTCTATATTAATGAGTTGGACAAAATTTTAGTGTTTCTGTTTTTAGAAATTCATCAACTACAAGAAAGGGAGGTAACAAATGTCAGATATATAAAAATTCATTAAAAAGAGTTAAAAGGAAGAGGAAGTAAAAGTTTTATAAAATAACCCAACATTTCACAATTGAGAAATTGATCAAAGATGTTGTTTCCTTGAAAGGTGTTGGAATTTACAAACCTCATTTTCTATTATTTACAACATATAAACAAAAGGTAATATTTTATTCCTACTTCCAGAGAAATGAAACAAAAAGAAACTTATAAGGTAATAACAAGTTTCATAAATAGCTGAATTAATGAAAGAGGAAGAAAAAAATAGTTGAGCTTTTAATATTCTTCAAAAGTTGGATGAATATGATGATAAATACTTAACAGATGTATCATAAAGTAAATGTGTTAAAAAATACTTCGTTTTGAAAATTTTATGTATCCGTCAGACTGAGTAAAGAAATCAATATAAGGATTTTATTTATGACTACTAAACAAACTGCATGAACAATATGCAAGCTCTGGGCATAGTCATAGGTGTTCGGCGGCCGCGCGTTGATTTGTCACTACCCCCGCCCCCTCACCCATTCTTCAACCCTTCTACCTCTCAAAACCATGGAAACTGCTGTATTTTTCATTTGAAACATGCTTTAATATTTGGTATATGCTTTTAGTTCAATTACCTTCATTTCCCACAAAAATAAAAGATTGTTATATATATTTTTAGTAAAGGTAAGCAACTCGCCGCTCATTTTTCAGCACCCATCTTTATATGAACTCCATAAATCCAACAATTTTTCATCAATTTTCATTATCTTGGTACCAAATGGTAGGAGATTGATTACTCTTAAAGGAAATTAAGGTGTCATTTCAGTCAGTTCATGTTATGTGAAGATATGTTATCTCCACAAGTGTAACTCGACAGAGACCTGAACGGTGTGTTTTTGTCAAAATACCCGACTAACCGACAGTTTATTCAAATTGAATGAATTTGTTTTGTATTGCACATATAAATATGATCAAATTATATTATTATCTTTTATAACTGTTTCCAATCAACGCGCCATACACCTATGGGCATAGTTAGTAACATGCTTTCCTACACAAGTCTATGTGAATTAAATGACCTCAGGACGCATTCAACTTTGGTCCTATGGGACATGATTTACATAACGTTTGGAAAAGAACACAAGGCAATTATCTAAATTTTGTCATGTCAGTTTCTGAGGAGAATTTATCAAAGATTTTAAAGTCGTTTTTGAGATTCTGTGACTTTACTTTATACCAGATTTTAGCTATTAATATTAGTTTTGTGGAGTTCTTTCCAGTGAAGTTTGATCAAAATAGACCATGATTGTGGTTTAAGAGGATGTTGTAGACGTGGATAATGAGTTTATTTACGGTGAAAGACAAAACAAAAAACAAACAAACCAAAGAACATTCCGTGGCACATCTGAACACTCAAAGCTTAACAGGAAATGTCTTTAACCAGGTTTCAAACCCATTAACTATTATAGCAGGAATTACATTGATAAAGAGTCTAGCAAATTTAAAAGTATCATAAAGTATAATAAATACTGTTGTGCCCTTTACCCATGTTACCAACAAACATTTTAAAATTATCATTAAACAATCTCTTGAACTAAATTACTATCTAGCATCCACTTCCGAGATTATTTTATAATGATTTTACCATTATTGACTCATTTCTATGATGTTTCCTATGTTTGTCTTTCAATTAACTGTAGACCGAGACGATTTCAACGAAAGAAGATAACAAATGTCAGATATATAAGCATTCATTTAAGAGTTATCTTATTAAGACTGAATGAGAACGAGGAAGTTTATTTACTCAAGAAAACCCAATATTCCTGATATACAAATGCAAAATTAATAAAAGAATTGTTTCACCTTAATCTACTAAACCTCACTGCATATAGAAACAAAAGGTAATTTCAAATACTAATAAACGTGTGATGTTAAGAGTATAAAGAAATAAATAGTACATGTATATAATATATCAATGATGAGGTTCATTTCATAAAGAGATGACATACTGATAAAAGAATCATTAACAAAATTGGGAAACAAAGTGATCCCATGTAAGCATTAATCACAATAAAATTACATGGAAATTGCAGACTCGGTTTGAACAAAAAGTTAATAGATAATACAAGAATTTACTATTGATGAAAAATACTTCTAAATCATTCTACACTCGAAAGTGAGTTTAAAAAAAGCAAAATTGTTTTGAATACATTATAATTAAAAATTATCATGTGGCCAAATAAAATCAATAAAAAGGAAATTTAATAAATTAATATGTTAGAAATAATATTTACAGGATGTATCAAGAACCAAATTACACGGAGACTGTGTCAATGAGATTATCTGAAGTATTAGCTGATATAGGTGTTGATGAGAGAATAGTGTTGAAGAGAAGGAGAACATGGCTTCTGACAGAATCATTGAAACATGTGAATAACCAATTATGGGAAAAGGATAAAAGTATGTTATACTATTTTGGGAGTCAATCAGAAGGTACAACTACCATAGGGATGGAGTCAGACACAGATGCACTTTATTGTTTAAATGATTTTCCTGTAATACAAGACTGGTGTGAATGGATACATGGTGTACCTAATCTATTGATGATTCAAGATAATTTTGTATCTCCTGGATATTGTTTACTTCAAGCACTGAGACATGATGCTCCTCTTCCTATTGATAATGAATCTAATCAATACTTCTTCAGAGACAGAACAGGAAAATTACTGCTAAAACAATCTATTATATCTGGTGATGAATATTTGGACACATTAGAATTACATGGCCCAGCAAGAGTACAACCAGGATCACATGGTTACTGTGATACAGACATTGTGGCAGCTCTGCACTGTAAAACATGGCCACAAAAAGCTAGACAATGGTTGAATCAACAAGGTGAAGGTCAATGGCCGTCTCCTGAAATGAAACAATATTGCAATAGAACTGGATGCTTTGTTGTTCCTGTTGGATGTAGATGGAGTGACTATAGGCAACTTGAATGGAGAATATCAACATCTTTAGCTGAAAGGTGTTTAATGTTAAACATTAATATAACACAGATTCGCTGTTATGTCTTGATGAAAATGATTATACAATCATTAATTGATCCGCAATTTGAAAATGTAATTTCCAGTTTCATGTGTAAAACTATACTCTTTCACTGTATTGCCAATTCACATTTTAACATCTGGAGAGAAAACAATTTACTTTCTTGTCTATTATTGTGTTTAAATCTCCTCTATAACAATATTATTAATGAAAACTGTCCACATTTTATCATATCTGAGAACAATTTGATGAGGGGTAAGATATCATCTGTAGTCAAACCATATATCCTGGAAATACTCAACAACATTATCAACAGTGCAGGAGTGGCACTTCTTGGTATTAAATGTGATGATCTTGGTTCCAGGCTTCATCTCAAGTTTTATAACTTATGTCCATTCAAGACAAGTGATCGCATTTCAGTACATCTACTATATTTTACAGCTGGAAGCATTTCAAATTTATTTCTTTTGAATTTTTTCACTCTTAAAAACAAAAGTCCTTATGAAGCTGTACAGACATTGACAAACTCTATTTCAAGTAGTGTCAATATCCAATATGGAGGATTGCCTGAGACAGCCTGTCATCTTCTGTTGCCAATGTACTGTACAACACTTGGATCTGTACTGGCCTCTATCAACATCAATCAGCACAACACTATATCTTCTGATGTCTTCAAGCTCATGTCACTTGGCCTGAATACAGATGTTGCATCAAGTAAACTGAAATTAGCTTCAATCTTATATTGTGTAAAAGAAATGCAAAAATCAGACCTGGTTCTCAGTGAGATTGAAAGAAGCTATGGTCTGCAAGTTGTTGAACCAGTCTGTGGTTGCTATAGATTTGAATTAATTTTTGAAAGATCAGGATTTTTTGCAATATCTGACAAACATAATGAAGATGTCATACAGTATGCAACAGCATCATGTGTCAGGTTTTTGCCATGTGAAATTCATTGTGTACCCATTGAACTCCGATATGAAATGGTAAGATCTACAGCGAAGGATAGGAAATTCCGCACCGGAAATGACATATGGATGGATAACGCTGTGGTGGATTCTCTTCCTTACCTCTATTTTCTACAATACAAGGTTAATAGCCATCTTTGGAAAAATAATGAAAAACAATCTGCTCTCTCAAAACTTTTCAGAACTATAATAACCGAACCAAACCTTGGACACCGGGAAACAGCTTTCAATATTCTCGGAAAGTGTATGGAACAAGAAGGCAGAGTAAGGGATGCTCTACAGTGTTATTTGTTGTCTCTAAATCTAAGGAGGAGAAACAATGCTGCAAAGATACATATCTGCACACTTCTATCTGTATTGGAAAATTTCAGGGCATAGAATGTATAACAGAAAGGCGGAAATAACTCAAGTATAAATTATGATAGAAGAGTGACATATAAAAGTAAAGGAACAGTCCTGCTTAACATTACATTGTATACGTCTATATATGTAAAACATTTATAATTATAAAGATAAAAAGAAACTTATAATTTAATGAAATTCAGTCAGTTGTAAATGGAAATAACAAAATTATAAATTATGATAAAAGAGAGACATATAAATGTAAAGGAACAGTATTGCTAAACATTAAAATATATGTGTAAATATTTGTTGTTAAACATAAGTTCAATATTTAATAAATTCAGTCATCCCTAAATGGAAAGTGTACATATTTGCAAGCAACTGAAAATAGTAGAATTACACAACTGGATGTAAGAATGGCAATTTATTATTGATGTTGAACATATCATTGTAATATACATGTACATAGACTAAGATAGATATAAGTGTCTTTGTATACTGAATTTATTTAAGTGATAAAATAATAAGCTGTGTCAGGACATATTTTTTAACGTCCCATTTTAGTTCTTTTTCTATTAATTGTATTTTTATTTATATTTTTTATCCGCCAAAGACTTATGCGTCAACTGCCCAACATTTTTTTATTTTTTAGAGGGGACTTTAAGTGCATTACTGTAAAATTTTTTCAAATCCAAAAATTTGGTTTAGAATTTAAAATTATTTTAATGAAATAGGAAATGACAAATGTGGAAAAATTCCATCCCCAAAAGACCTAAAAAGAGATTTTTTTTCAAAAATTTATAAATTAAAAAATTTTCTAGACTGGTATCAGTTGGGTTATTTTTAATTATAAATTTTGAGTTGATTTTGGCTATTTTTTTGCAGTTTTATATTCTCGCTTCCGTATTTCCATACGATTTTATTTTCAGCGGTTTTAAATTTTCGTATTTGCATTTACGGAAGTGCAGATTATTCCATCCTCATCATTACAGATTTCCGTAAATTGCTTTGCTTTTTGAAAAATTAATTGAAGGAAAAGAATCAAGTCTTTATTACATGACAATACTTTTGAATTGTATATGCATACACTTGTTGTACATTGTCATGGTTCTATACGGTGTCTCATTAAAAATATGAAACGTCGTTATTGTCTTTGTCTGTCATACATCTTGATATTCATGTATGCGGTGTTAATTTATAAATTTTATTGTAAAATTGTACTAGCTGCAGAATATTTGTTATAATTCTAATTTTGTCATTATTTATATCAAATTAAGCCATTCATGAAACAACTTTCATATATCATTAATACATTTCAATATCATTGAGAACTTGTTATATTACATGTGTATTAGTAAGAATTAATTACAGTGATAAATTCGATGACAAGCAGTGACTACCGTGACACCTAATCTTTACTACTTAAAACGTTTCCTATAGGAGCAAGCGTTTTGATGCCCAATCTTTGAAGCACTCAACCCCGGGATGGATGTCACGGCTAAGTAAAATGATAAAGGCAGCTGGAAGTCTGTTGTGTAGGACCCCGACACGATAGGCAAGAACGGCTACATGACGATAACCAGCGATGCTAGCGTACGACCCCGACAGGATAGGCAAGGACGGCTACATGACGATTACCAGCGATGCTAGTGTACGACCCCGATACGATAGGCAAGGACAGCTACATGACGATAACCAGCGATACTAGTGTACGACCTCGACACAATAGGCAAGGACAGCTACATGACGATAACCAGCGATACTAGTGTACGACCCCGACATGATAGGCAAGGACGGCTACATGACGATAACCAGCGATGCTAGTGTACGACCCCGACACGATAGGCAAAGACAGCTACATGACGATAACCAGCGATGCTAGTGTACGACCTCGACACGATAGTCAAGTACAGCTACATGACGATAACCAGCGATGCTAGTGTACGACCCCGACATGATAGGCAAGGACGGCTACATGACGATAACCAGCGATGCTAGTGTACGACCCGACACGATAGGCAAGGACAGCTACATGACGATAACCAGCGATGCTAGTGTACGACCTCGACACAATAGGCAAGGACAGCTACATGACAATAACCAGCGATGCTAGTGTACGACCCCGACATGATAGGCAAGGACGGCTACATGACATAACCAGCGATGCTAGTGTACGACCCCGACACGATAGGGCAAGGACAGCTACATGACGATAACCAGCGATGCTAGTGTACGACCTCGACACAATAGGCAAGGACAGCTACATGACGATAACCAGCGAATGCTAGTGTACGACCCCGACACGATAGGCAAGGACAGCTACATGACGATAACCAGCGATGCTAGTGTACGACCCCGACATGATAGGCAAGGACGGCTACATGACGATAACAGCGATGCTAGTGTACGACCCCGACATGATAGGCAAGGACGGCTACATGACGATAACCAGCGATGCTAGTGTACGACCTCTCGACACGATAGTCAAGGACAGCTACATGACGATAACCAGCGATACTAGTGTACGACCCCGACACGATAGGCAAGGACAGCTACATGACGATAACCAGCGATGCTAGTGTACGACCTCGACACGATAGGCAAGGACAGCTACATGACGATAACAAGCGATGCTAGTGTACGACCCCGACACGATAGGCAAGGACGGCTACATGACGATAACAAGCGATGCTAGTGTACGACCCCGACACGATACGGCAAGGACAGCTTGGACATTGGACATTTGATAACCTGAAGTTAATGCCCGGTATAACGACTCGTATACCCAAGGAGGTAGGAGCTACGCTCTTGACGTTACCCAGAGCAACTAAAGTTAAGGATTTATAGCTCATTCTGTACCGTGCAAACATCCTCTTTTCGTATTCTTCTTGTGACTTTTGGTTCATTCTGATGTCAGAATGGCCAACCCAGCATGGAGGTTACAAGACTAATACAGAATTTGAGATAGGTTTCTTTTTATAAGTGTGTCACTTCAACGTGTTACTACATGTATACTATAAGAGCAAAGTATAAGGACGTACTTTAAAGAGTAGGACTTTCCTTAAAGTATAGGACTTACTTTAATCTATTTAATTCACTTTATTTTCATTTTTCCATTTGTAGATATTTTCATCTCTTTTGTAAATAGAAATTTGTTTATTTTTACTGTTTTTGTTTTCATCGTATTATCTGCTGTTGTCTGTTCATCCATTGACACACGTTCATCGGTTTAAATTGAGTTGGTCGGGTTTTAGACCGGTTAGAAAATTTAACAAGAGCCATGTCAACATGGCCATCCCCGCCGAATGTGTTTGCTCATTGGAAGAATGTTTATGTAGTAGAGCAGAATAATTCCATTTTAAGAGGTCTTTTGGTAATTATGAAAACTGATGGCTATAGTGATTACAGATTTGAAACCTATGTGAATACTGATGGCTGAAAATAACAAAGGGCAATAACTGAAAAATAATGCAGGGTAGGTTATCATTCTTGTGTGCTGCATCCCTCCTTAGTAAAATCTATCCACCTATGAAGTTTCAAGTTGATACCTCAAATACTCTTTGAGAAAAAAATTGAATTGAAAATTAAGTATGAAAAATAACAAAGGGAAATAACCCAAAAAATATAAAAGGTAAAGTTATCATTCTTGTGCACTGCACACCTTCTGAGTGAGATCTATGCACCTATGAAGTTTCATAATGATATCTCAAAGGTCTTTTGAGTTATGCTCTGGACAAAAATTAATTTTGAAAAATAAAAAAGGGCAATAACTAAACAGTTATGCAGGGTAGAGTTATCGTTCTTCTGCACTGCACTCTCCCTCGATGATATTCATCCACCTATGAAGTTTCAAGTTGATACCTCAAATACTTTTTGAGATAAGCTCTGGACAAAATAGCATGAAAAAGAACAAAGGGCAATAACTCAAAAATTGTATAGGGAAGAGTTATCATTCTTGCGCACAACATTCCTCCTCAATAAGATCTATCCAACAAACTTTTTGAGTTTTGCTCCACTCAGGTGAAAAATTAAGTATGAAAAATAATAAAGGGCAATAACTAAAAAATTATGAAAGGTAGAGTTATCATTCTTGTACTGCACACCTCCTGAGTGAGATATATGCACCTATGAAGTCTCATGTTGATATCTCATAGGCTTTTGGAGTTATGCTCTGGACAAAATTCAATTTTGAAAAATAACAAAGGGCAATAACTCAAAAATTATGCAGGGTAGAGTTATCATTCTTGTGCACTGCACTCCTCCTCAATGAGGTCTATCCACTTTTTTTTCACAAAATATCTCTTTGCCTCCACTTCATCATTTTCCAATTGGCATAAATGAAATAATTTATCACAATAAAACTAAATTATACATGATATATTTCTCTCATAAAACATTGTATAAAACAGAACATTAAATTACATACAGAGAAATGATAAAATATTACAAATCACAAAGATACCTTAACAACGTCATGTTTTATGACACAAGTATAATTCAACACACGAAGCAACATCATTATTGTTTACTATGCTCATCTTTGAGTAAAAAAATCATAATATTTTCATGTCACGTTCTCTAATAAATATATATTCATATTGTGACGACGATTGTGTGTAAATTTGATTGTGTAGCAAACATTATTTTTCTAGATTGAAACATTATTTTTCTAGATTTTCATAAAGTAAACTTTAAATGATTCACACTGACATACATGTATTTTTTGTAGTATTTATCACCATATCTTTTATTGTGTTACAAACGTAGTTTAGGCTTTTTTGCATATTTTGACATCTTTTTGAAAGCGTCGTTTGCTATTTGTTAATTAACATCCTTATTCACTTTACGTTACTTTATTAACATTGTCATGAAGATTTGCATGAATCTGGAGGCGTGCTGCTTTTAAATATAATATAAAAAAAATTCTAGAGTTTTCAGAAACAATTTTGCTATGATTTACATTGATGCTTTCTATGATAAATATTTTTTCATTTTCTCTAATAAGCAAACAAAAACTCATAATAACATTGTTAACTTTATGAAATACTAGTCATGCTAGTACATTGTATTAGGAATTCTTTATTATTGTTACCAGGGGTTTCAAAATTTGTTAATTTAATGAGTAAATGTTTTACCAAAATTAGCTAATTTTGAGACTCAAATATTCAGGACGTTCTCTCTTTCACCCCCCCCCAAAGAAAAATCGCCAACAATAAAAATAAGGAAATAAGGTAGAGTAAGGAATTGGTTAGTAATTTGAATACCAGTATATTCTATCCTGAACGCTATATATTTCAAGAATTCCTTATCACACTATTTTATATCATGTTACTAGAACTTGGCGGGTTAAAATAGTAATCCATCTCATCACCAAATACAAATAATAAAATAAAAATTGGGAAAAATAACTAAAATAACTAAAATTATCTACATTATTTACAATTCCTATATATACAAGTGTTTATAAAAAAACTAAAACAGTTTGTAAAATTCACTTGTTCATCCTTAAAAGCTGCCTTGACGAACCAGAAAAAAAGTGTATCATTTAAAACACACTTTATACAAATGAATATATCCATAGAAGACATATTGTTAA